TTTTTGGACAGCTTAAGAAAACTAATATGACAAATAATATAATTCCTACAAATTTATATCAAACAAAGAAGTTTGTTTCCAAACATGATTTGACATATACAATAAATAGACTCCTGTGTCAATAAATGCATATTATACTATAAAAATGACTTATCAATAATTATATACCGTCATTGCAACGCACCAAGATTTAAACCAAAGTTTATGATGAAATGAAAGTTGAAGGATGTACTAATTAGTATGATATTTTAATTACACATAATTTTTAGACTACAACGGTTATATGCTTCCATGAGTTCTGCTGCACATATGAAATGACAAAATGAATATATCTGACAAGAAGGCGTTATTACACATCCATCAAAAGCAAAAGCCTGGAAACAGATTGATCATACATATACTATCTTCACCATAGAATTAAGAAATGTAAGATTAGGTTTATGTGCAAATTGTTTTACTCCATTTAGCTAATTTGCTTCACAATACTCATGCTGGACCATAATACTCACCCCTTACAATCTTCCTCTATAGTTGTGTATGCCTATACCTTACATGTTTTTGATACTGATCATTTTAGGGTAACATAATCCAAAAGTAAAGATCGATATATTCTTGCAACCTTTAATCAATGATTTAAATTTATCATGGGAAGGAGTATGTACATATGATATCTCCACCAAACAAAACTTTATAATGAGAGTAGGATTACATTGGATAAATGATTATTTTCTTTTGTACAATATGCTTTTAGGTTGGAACACTTCCTGCAAGTTATCTTGTCCATATTGTATGGAATTTATAAAGTTATTTACTTTAAAGTGTTGAGGGAAGAATACTTTGTTCGACTATGACCACATTAATACCAATAGCATAATTAAGAAGAGCTTATGTCAATTAAAAGATCTTACTAAAGATGGGGATGATCAAATTGCAACTAATAAGAGTGATTTGTAGCTAGAGGAAGTAGATTTAAATATAGAGGAAAGACATGAGGAATCTGATTGTGGTAAAGATGTATATCTTATGGAAGTGAATCAGCAAATGATTAATAAATAGAATTTAAATGTATTTAATGATTTTTTAAAATTAATTAAGAATCAACAATTTATATTAATAATATGATTTATTTTTTAACATCATAGCAATAGTTACCTAGTTATTTTGTTATTGTTCTACTATGTTTTAATAATATAGTAGTACTTATAATTTATATTAAATATTAATTATAATTTATGTTGCTAATATTTTTTTAATATTCTTTCATAAATGGCTTCTGGTGATGAGTCTCATTAAGGATTAATCAAGTAGATTTTTGGTAGGCGTAAGAAGATGACTAGTGGCTCAACCAGTAAACTCATACGTATTGAGGGGAGCTCTTCTTCTATGCCTACTATTTAGAGTCAATCTAGCCCACCTTTACCTTCTCCTCTAACTAGTAGTAAGTAATTTTACTCACTCGACCCCTACTTTCCTTTGCTAGACACCACGCATAATACTCCCTTCTACCCTCAATACCCCCACCTTCTCATGGAGGCCCTCCCACTTATCCATATCCACCAAATATCCCATCATTATATCCTGCACCACCCCCTCATCCCTCTACAAGTGGACCTTCCACCCCAGTTGCAACAAAGCAGTTATCAGACTGGCGCATGTTAATTACACATGAGGGTGACATGTACTAATTTATAATATTCTTAACATGATTTTAAAATTTGATAAATATTTTTTCAACTAACATATTTTATGCAGGTTTCATCAGTTAAAGAAATAAACCCATAAAATATAAGATATCATGTTGAGCAAGTATGATGCTCCTTATATTTCATGGAAGAAAATATCAAAAGAAGTGTACAACATGTGGTTCAGAGAGTTTGACGTTAGTTATTATAAAAATATTCTATATTATATAATTTTTAATTAAGCTAAAAATATTCTATATTGCATGTTTTTTTATGTAGAAAGGTTTTTATTGGTTGCCCAAGCATAATGATGAAATTAGAAAAAATTTTGAGAAGCGTTAGTCATCTCGCATACGAGACATACTTACAAACATTAGGAAGTCACAAAATATTCTTACAAACATTGTATTAGTAAGAGTGCATGGGCTGAGCTAACTAGTGCTTAGGTAAGCTTATATTATACTAGGAGGGATAAGAATAGACATAATCAAGCTTCTAAAGTTGAGGGAATGGGTAGTTCTCTCCATACTAGGGGTTCAATTCCACATGCTAAGCATAAGCAATGTTTGATAAGAAATTTTAAATGATTTTAACAATTTACTATATTATGAATACTAATGTAAGTGTATTATAAAGAGAGTTATTGGGTAGAGAGCCGACCGCTATTGAGTTACATTATCATACCCAAAAGTGACAGAAGGACTAGCAATGGGTTGATGAGTGAGCAAGGAAAGCCTACGTGAGTATATAAGTTTAAAATTTTAAGTTTGAGTGTAAATTGATTAATAGTATGTTAGCTTTTATAGGAAGAGTATACACGACTTTGAGATAGCTAGGCTAGAGTAGGTGAGGAATTATCTAGAGGATCAACTAATTATTTTGACTATTGCATCTGGTCGAAAGCGATAGGTAGAATATAGAAAGGATAGGTATATGTTTTAGGCTTGCAAGCTTATGCATATGAGCTACAAACATCTGGTGGCTCTAGCTTTTAACAAGCATCCATGAGTCATTGTATGACCAACAGGTAGTTTCCCTTACAACAGAGCTAGACCATGTAAAAAATAATAAGCTAAAATGCAGATGTAGATGCACATGCAACAAAGTCAAATGTTGGATGAATTGCAGAAATTAAGGGAGTAGTTCAGTGGAAAGTAGCCAACATCAACAAGGGGAGGAGGATGATGAGATAGATTTTGATTAGATTTTTTTGTTACTAATGAACATTTCCTTTCTATGTTAGACATTTACTTTCTATGCTTCTATATTTTATTGTCTATTTTTTATTGTGCAATGAATTATGATTATTTATAAACTATTTGTTGAAACTATTTGTTGAGTGTTCAAAAATAGTTTGTAATCAAATATGTTTTTACATGCATATAACATTGGTTTATGTTCAATGTTTGAATGTGAATATGATATGTGTATAGTTTTTATGCAGGATTATTGTGTTATAGAAAACATGTGAGTGTTATTTTTTATTTATTATTCAGGTTTTTGGTGGATTTATGGCAGATTATCTGCAAAAAAATGGAGATATGATGAAATGGTATTGTATTTCTAAAAGAACAATTCTATTAGAAGTACTAACATATAAAATGCAAGAAAAAAATATAGGTTAGTTCTCGGTTAAACTTTTTGATGGTATATTTCATCCAAATATTTTGGCGAATAAATCATCGGGAATGCTAATTCGTAAATGATGAATATTTGTGCAAATATTTTTTTTACAATTTGATCAATAAATCAGCCGAAATATCTCTGGCAAAAAATTTCTGCCAAAAAAAGTTTCTTACACTCATTTTATCGTCTACTAGATTTTAGTCAATAATCTGCCAGAAATGCAAAATTTCGACAGAATTCCTCATTTTTTTACTGATTTAAGCAATTGGTGATAATAGGTTTTCTTGGAGTGCACAATGTCTAACACTCTTAGCTTAGTTTTGAGCAAACTAAACCTTAAATAATTAAGTTCCATAAATAATATTTACCTATAATTTTTTTTAGTATCAATTTATTTAATGCCTATAACATATTTTAACATATGGTCTCTAACAAAATGATGCGTAATATAATGTAGTTTTTTTAAAAAATTCTAAGTTAGATTTTTAGGAACATAAATGGCATTGAAATTATAACAAATAATAGATATGACATCCATTTGAAGACCAAAATATAGAAATTTTTGCTTCAACCCTAAGACTTAGGAAACATAGCTTTATAAGGTAATGTATTTTGCTTATATCGTGGATGGGCAATAGAATTTATTTTTTACTTGAATAAGAAATTATTGAATGTCCCAATGAATTAAAAGGGTCTTAATGTGCATTTTTTTATTAACTTTACATCTTACAAAATGTTGTTCTTAATATCCTACTAGATTAAATTTTATAATGATCCTAGTTTACCAAAACCCAAGTTTAATTACTTGTATGAGATGCTAGAAAAATATTTTTAATTGCAACTAAATGTGATTTTATGGTCTCCTTGAAAATATGCTCATAGGTATACACTTAAAGTTGACTAGTAGTAACATATAATTAGGATCCTATCATACCTTTTATACCTTTTTGCATGTATGTAGTTTCCACTGAGGTCTTTATCAAACCATGTAGAAGGTTTTGTTGGGTGTTTGATCTTTCGTATCCATCCATGTTAACAATTTGAATTATTTATTTAGCATGCTTTGTTTGACTCTAAAAGTTGGACACATAGACCACACACTATTATTATTTTAGTATTTGCTTGTTATGTTGTGATGTAAATCTTTTTCTATGAAAGTATATGTGTTGTATCATTTAATAAAGTGATGACAAAAGTATCATTTCCATGTTGATTGGAATTACCCTAAGGGTACTCAAGTACTTCCTATATGAACTGCTTAATTTTTCTTATCAATAGAATAAAACAGTTATTCAATTGAAAGTTAAAATCTATAGATTCAAGAAAAAAATTAATATTTAAAATACTTTGGACCTATGATATTTAAAAACGATTATTGATAATATTTAGAATTTTCATAATATTAGTGTGACTCAAAGTATAATTAATTCTCATCTCAGTCATGTTTATTGGAGCATTAGCTAAGATTTCTCAAAAGTTTAGTTTTAATATTCTTTAAGAACCCATAAGCCTAACCATAATATGCATGTGCATGGAAAAACTACATTTTAAATCCCCTAATTTCTCTTCTACACATCTGTGTAGGTTTTAGATTACACTATATTTTAAGTTTATGTAAGGCCTCTACACAAACTAAATTAAGTTGGTTGAACTATCATTAATTGATGCATGATATTATTATTATTATTTCTAGGGGAAACCAACAAAGGGGCCTATGCGTTGATTAAAAACAAGATTACAGGGTCCTTAAAGGGACCTCGAGCTTACTACTGCTTGCAAGAGCTACAAAGCAAAAAACCAAAAACCTATGAGCTCAAGATCCCTACTACACAGGAGTACAAAATAACCTAAGTACAATCTATGGTGCCCAAGAAAGGGCACCCAAAAAAGGAGACCAGCAAAGAAATGTCGATCAACATGAGCTCCTTGTCCAAAAAAGTATGAAATACATGGACCTGCACAAAAAAGAAATATGCAAAATAGAAAGCAGAGCACCAAATATATCCAAACAAATAATAAGCCCAAAAGGAGGTAGGAGAGCCACCTGTAAATCATATACCAACCAAAGGACTGCCAATAAATAGGAACCACCAAAGCCCACCACCCATAAGTACTGGCCATAGAACAAAAAACCAAATGGAAATAGACAATACCAACACAATAGGAAATAGAATAGCCCAACAATCTAAAAATAACCCAATAGAAAGTATCCAGGTAGAAGCAACTTCTGAGAAGAACAACAACAATAATACAAAGCCAAGAACCTAGCACATTAATAATAAAGGAGGTGGAGGACCAAACATTAATCCACAAGCTAAAGGATAGGCAGCTCAAGCAATGAGGGGACGGGCATATAGAGCTCAGGTTATAAGGAATATCACAAGAATCACAAGGCAGAACCTTATGCCGCTCCATCACACCAAAGAGCCCCAGCCAGCACCACCTCCCCTCCAAACTCCAGCGCAAACTAAACCGAAAGCTGCCAGGAAAAAAACACCCAAAAGCCAACACCAAATCCAACCCATCCAGAAGAACAACAAATCTAGTAGAGATAATCTAATACAATAAGCTTAGCTGGCTAGCAACAAGCCCGAACAGGAACAAACTCCTCATCTAGAACCCCACCAACCTAACCATCCAGCAACCAGAAGACCTCAACACCCCAACAACCAAAAGGCCAAACAACTATCCCCTCCAGAAAACCAACAACCCGAAGGCCCCACAAGTAACCAAAACTAGCACTGTCCGATTCAGAGGAAAGAGAGAAACAAAAAGGTTAAGCTTCAAAAGAAAATTATAATCAATGCTCAACCTAGTACACCCAGTAAGGCTCCAGCACGAGCACTCCCCACCAAAGTGAACTAGGATGAAAACATAACAAAAATTAAGGAAACCACAGCCAAGATAGTAGCCAGAAAATGCAAAAAAAAAACACCCCAACAAACGGCCAGGGAGTAACCCACAAGGAGAAAGAGCACCCATGCCACAGCAAGGTAGGGAAAAATAAGCCCCCATAAATCTGAATAGGAGACAACCGAAAAGAACACCCTCAACACCATAAGAACCAATAAAAAAATAAAGCCAGTGAAGGACCGAGAAGGATACAAAAGTCCCATGGCACCGAACCAAAAAACATGATAGCAACAAAATAGAAGTAAGAAAAGCAATAAGGTTAAAAATAAAAGGCAGCACCAAAAACACCACCACTAGAACACGAAGCAGCTATTTCTTAACATAAGATAATCCAATTTGGTCTAGATTAAATAGGTCTTTTGACACAAATAGGCAACTGAGAAAAAGCCAGCACAGTCATACCATTTAAATCATAACTTAAAGTGGCAATAGACTGAGAACACACATTCCCATCCTCCACAATGATAGAAAAAGAGCAGTTTAGGGTATTCAAGATATCCTTAATGTCCCTCCGAATGTAAAACAAAGAAGAAGGGAAAATCCTATCCTCCTTATGATTAATAAAATTGTAATCAAAGTAAGAGCCCACCTCTAACACCACATTACTGATATGAAGATTAGCATAGAGGATTAAGCCATGAAGTATGGCATAATAAAAAGCATAATTAACATCACCATTAGCAATCAGCCCTATAAAACCCAACAAGTAGATGCCATTATGATCTCTAAAGACACCACCACAACCAACAGTAGTGCCCAAACCACCACAAGCCACATTTAACTTAAAAGAATTAGTGTTAGGCTTCACCCAAGTAATACTCCTAGAAACCCTTTGACAGTAATTCACCTCCAAGTTAATGCCAAAACTGGAGGAAGCAAAAAAGAAATTCTTAAAATTATAAAAAAAATAATAAATTAGCAAAGAAAAGGGTAACCACCTCATCCTTAACTTTCTGGATAATTCTTTCATAATTCATATTAACCAAAAGATAAGTGCAGGAATAACATTTCTGACATGGCCTTTAGACTTGATAAACTAACAATCAAGCAAATTATAAATAGAAATCCTAGCAGAAAAGAAATTGAAATGAAAGATATCTTCAAAATAAGACCACACTTTAACAACAACGGGACCATAGATGAAAACATGATGCATATTGTCACAATGGTAACAACATTGGCAGTTAGAGGGTAAGATAAAACATCTACGCCTCAAGTTCTCATCCATGGTAATAAATTTATGTTATATTCTCTAAATAAACACAGAAACCGTAGAGGGGACGCTTTTATGCTAAATCATTTTAAAAAGCTTAGAAGACTCATTTTTAGCTCTAAAGGAATGCCAAGCATCTTTAACACTAAATAAACCATCTTTAGTGAAAGAAAAAAAAATAAAACATCCATGGAAGTAATGTTTAGAAGAATCTTTAAAATGAGCTGAATAATAAAGTCAGGGAGAACAACAGAAAGTTTTTATAGATTCCACCAATAATTAGAGAAGAAATTATTAACCTTCACATTATCAATGTAAAAAGAATTTAATAAAGAATCAATCAATTGGCCATTCAACCAACGATCTTGCCAAAAGAAAATATTTCCATTACCCAGGCCCCACATAAGAGCCTGCTCAACCTTCCATTTAACAGAATAGAGCCTTTGCCAAACTTTAGAGTGGCCAGTACTAGAACTACACAAGGTGGGGTGTTTACCACCACAATACTTGGCCATCATATAATTAGGCCAAATACTCACATTGGCCCTAAAGTTGTACCAAAGCTTGAAAGAAAAAGTGGAAGCCAAATCAAACATAGTTTTGCACCCTAAAGCCCCTTCTTGCAAAGTCCCAAACCATTTACCCCAAGACGACTAATGAATCTTAGCATTATTCCTAGAACATTTCCAAAAGAATTTATTAACAATTCTATCAATTCTATAACACACAATATTAGTAGGGAGGAGAGTTTGAAAACTATAAATCGAAATAGAGAAAAGAACACTTTTAATAAGAGTAAGATGACCACCTAAGCTAAGGAAATTAGAATCCTAAGAAGATAATTTGTTCTGAATCACAACAATTAAGTCATCAAAGAAAAAAGACTTCTTTCTCTCCTTATAAAGAGGAATACCCAGGTATTTTAAAGGAAAAAACTTTGATTAAAGCTAGTAACATTCTTAATAGCCACAATATGATCAGAAGGAATATTTTTAGATGATATAAAACTGCACTTCTGCTTATTAAAAGCCAGATCACTAACCGAATCAAAATGGTCAAAGAAACTAATAATCTTATTAATCATGTTCAATGAAGCATATGAAAACACAATGAAATTATCAGTAAAACATAAATGAGTGATTTTAATACGGCCAACAGTTTTGAAATAGAGACTAGGACTTTTATCAAAAAGATCCACAAGACCCCTAGAAAGGTAATCAACAACAATAATAAAAAGTGCAAGTGAAATGGGATCCCCTTGTCTAAGCCCATGAGAAGCCTTAAAGAAACCATGGCTCTTGCCATTCATAATAATGGAATAAAAAGGGCTTTCAGCACAAGTATTAATGAGGGAGATGAAATTATAATCAAAATCAAATAAGCTCATGATGTTATAAATAAAAGTCCGATTAACATTGTCATAAGCCTTAGCAATATCCAATTTCATGATCATATTACCACCTCTAACATTGACATCCAAGTCCTGACAAAATTCTTATGCCAAAAGAAAACTGTCAGTAATGGCACGACCTTTGACAAAACCCATTTGAAAAGGAGAAATAAGCTTAGGAAAAAACACATTTAACCTATGCATCAAAATTTTAGAAAGCAATTTATAAAAAATAGTACACAAACTAATAGGTCTAAAATCATTCCAAGAATTCATAGTATTATTCTTAGGAATAAGCACAATAGTAGTAGAAGAAAAAAACTTCAGAAAAGGATCACCTTTAAAAAAATTAGTGACAATAGAGAAAATTGATGCATGAAATTATAAATCTACTATAAAGCTAAAAAATGATTTGTAAATTTCATTAGTTTAGAGTAACAATTTTAGTTATATATGGATTTAAGGTTAAACAAAATAAGCCTCATTGAAATATACAAAATAAAAGTATTAGAGACAAGTAAGGATAAAAATTACCCAGAAATTTGATAATGTATTTATAAAATCTTAACTCTCCTTCTCCTCTGTGTAGGCTCATATTGGAATAACACAACATGAACATATAATTAGTCCCCCCCCCCCCCCCTTCCCCCCCCCCGGGCACCAAAAATAGCCTCACATACACACACACACACACACACACACACTATCCCATACTCCACTCCAACTAGCCAACCCCTGAAAGTTCATTAGGGATGTTAAGCCTTATAGAATTGGCCCAAGGCTAAATAAAAAGAGTAGTGAATTAGTAAAAAAGAACTTTAATAAAGTTACAAACCAAAAATCACACAAATAAAACAATGCGGAAGCAAATAATAAGAAAGAACACACCAGATTATATAGTGGTTCGGTCAACCTTGACCTACGGTCCACTCCTCGGAGGGACCCTCCAAGTATTGCACTAAAACAAGTGTCTCTCCTTTAGCCCCCATAGCTAGGCGGAGAAGCCCTTACAAAATCACTTCCACCTTCCCCGGTGCGGCGGAGTCGTTGGGTCCTTTGACAACAAAGAGATCTTCTTCTTTGGTGAACTTCCCTCGAGACAAGCCTTGAATCCGACGGTATTAAGGTGCAAGCCTGCCGGAGCAACCATGTGGAATCCCCCTCTACACCCCTTGAGTCCCCTCACAGGATCTTCTCCCTCTCTCAGACTTCCCCCGTTCTCACTCCCTTTTAAGCTTTCTTCTTTCAGAGTTTTCCCCCACAAAACGAAGCTACAATGGCTGTTAAAGACACTTACAAAGTGCCTTGTCATAGCTTAAATAGAAGAGCTAAAAACGAGCTCATTAATACAAGTTGCCAACTTTATCATCCAGGATGATAGACATATCGTCCTGGCCGATTAGTTCAAATATAAGGAAAATCGTCCTAAATATTACCCTGAAATGAAGCTGGCCGATGTCTAATCGGCCCGGACGATCTTGCAATTGGCCCGGACGAAATCACCATTAATTGCTTTCCTTAATTGCCAGAGAAATTTTAGAAAAATTGTCCTGGATCGTCCTGACCGATATTTTATAGTCTAGGCCGATCCACCAGGCTGATGTCCAAAAATAAGTAATTCCTAAATAAATCTGGCAGCAGTAACTTTTTGAATTTAGCCTATTGTGGCCGATACAATATCGTCCAAGACGATGTGTTTTGCATAATGACGGCTGCTTTAATGAGGATGCCCTAATTAGGATTTCTGCTTTTGAACAGATCGTCCCGGCCGATATAAATATCGTCCAGGACGATGTTATCAAAAAACAGTAAATTCTAGGGAACAGTCAGAAACTCTTATACATTACAAAGCATCAGGAGCCACAACAAATACAATAGACTCAAGAAAGGAAAAAGTGTACAAACTAACTCAGACCTAGTCTACCCAATCTTGAGCTGGTTCCAAATAGCAGTCCGATCGTGTGAACCTGAAATGTCAGTACATAAGGCAGTCGTAGAGAAATAAGAATGTTTGCAATCATCAAAATCATAAACCATAGATCCACAACAACCCCTTTGATGAGATAGAAGCTCACTTTTTATACATTTTTCAGATAGTTGAACTAATACCCTGAAGCTAATCTAGAAGTGCTACTATGCTGCAAAATCAACATGTCAATTCACCATTCATCACATCAATTCATTGATTCAACCATTTATAACTTACTTTCATGACTTTGTTGATTTTGCTCTACAATGCTTGATCTGGGGTTGAAGTGCTCCATATATACCAACTTGCTATTAAGATCTCCAATGAAATTTACTCCTTATACCACTGCAGTATTGATCACTTAGCATAATGATATTATGGGAAATATAGCAATGTGGCACTCTATTTATATTGGTGTGATGCTCCTTCAATTTGAGAATTTTTATCTTATTTCCTACATTAAAAAGATAAAATTAAAGAACCTTTTTTTAAATAGATGCAATTTATAAAATGCAAATTTCATTTAAAAAATCCCCCGATCAAGAAGTAGGAAATATGGAAAAAAGAAGAAAAAACAAACAAAATTTTAGTTTTAGTTTGGTCAACTTGACCTATGAGCACTCTCAAAGTCCTCTTCTTTGGGTATTGCACTAAAAAGTTAGTTTGGTCAATTTACTTACTATACCTATGTTCATTCCATACATAAATTTTTTAATTACAACCTCGCCATGTGAAACAGACCATATCTTTGCATCCAAATCTTTGCATCCATCTCATAAAGACAAATCAAATGTGTCCATTCAAGCTTGAATCAAATATCTTTTGATGCTTGTGGAGTAGAGAGAATATTAGGTCCTTTTCCTTATTAAATATAATAAGAATAATAAATTTAAAAGTCAAATAAAAAATCTAAAAATAATTGCATTTAACAAATCAAAAAATAAAATTTTAATAATTATAACTAATAAATTAAAATAATATATTTACATATTAGTATAAATATATTAAAAAGTTCATGCAAATCTAAATTCAAGCACAAATAATTTTAGTTCTTAATATAATAAAATATTGGCCATCCATTTCAAATTAATAAGGGCTTGATGGGTATTCTTTCCCATATAAACTTTACGGTTAATTTGGTGTCAACATGATGAAAAAAGTTGTATCTTTTCCTCCTTACAATAGCTTTCGTCATGGCCATCTAAATTTAAATCCATTGATAGAAATTTGTCTAGGAAATTAGTTAGGATATATTTTTAAGAGCTTCCAAGAGATGTGATATCAGCTCTTGAGTTATGGGCATCAAGGATCATATTTTCATTTCTTATTTTTTTTCTAAATCAAGTTTTACTCAAAGGGGAAGTGAGTACTGGTTCAAGAGGGCGGCTTAGTCAAGATTCACTCCCTCGTATTCTTTTTTTTATAAAGCAATAATTGCATTAAAGATAAAAAAGAGCAAGAAAACCAACTACAAACCGTCACCTACCGATTCCTCCTTCAATAGTTTAATAAATGAAGGAGGAACCTTATTGAGTACTAGATCATCCCAACAAAAAGAACCAAAGATGGCATAGTTAGCACATAAGTCTGCTAACTTATTCCCACTCCTATCTATACAATCAAAGATTACATAACTAAAATCTTTAATAAAAAAAAAATCTTCAATCTTATTCCCATCTTTTTTGTAAGAATTTTGAATGAACTTGATAACATTTGTATTATCTCCTTCTATTATCTCCTTCTATCATGATGCCTTTATATTCCATCATCCAATCTTTTATCATCTCTTTAATAGTCTTCATAGCAAGAAGCTCCAAATAAGCACTATCCCAATGCTCAAATGTTTTACCAAAAGCAAAAAGGAACCTCCCTTTGTAATATCTGAATACACCACCAACCCCACCTTTGTAGGAAGATAACAATGCTGCATCAACATTCACATTAATCCAATCGGGTGGAGGAGGATGCTAAGCTTTATCTAACAGCAAATGTGATTGGCATTCAACCGTCCCCAAGTGTTCCATTCGAAAGCTTTGTGAATAGCTGCATAATTGATAGATTCGAAAGCTATGAAAACTGCAGATCTATCAGTTTTCACATGGATAAGCTCATTCCTCCCTTTCCATGTAAAATAAACAATGTTGCATAAGATGTTTAACATAAAAGGATTTATACTCCTCATCCAGGTCCAGCGATCTTCAAAGCAGGAAGCAATTGGTATTATAAACCCCCATTGATTTAGAAGCAGAATAACCTCATTCAGTTTCTTACAGCTCACCGTCAAATGCTTTGTATCTTCTACTTTATTGCATCCCCTTGGACACCACTTGTTTGGTTGCAATCTTCTGTATGATAAGAAACTAAAAGTAGGTAAAGAGTTATTTAATAACCTCCACCATAATGTTTCCACCCTTGCATTCAGTTTTGCTTTCTTCAAACACCTCCAATACTTGTATTCTTCAAAATTCTATTTTGTTGTCAAACTAGCCATTACTGAAATACCCTTTCCCGAACCTCCTTGAATGAGCTCCAGCTCGTCTTCCTGACGATGTGAAAAAATTTGAACTTTACAAACCCTCTCTATTAGCTCATCTCCAAAATATTTCTTCATCTCAGCAACATTCCATCTTGCTTCCATAATAAAATCATTTACAGTTTCCACATGTTAAGGCTCTTGTCCATGATCCATATATCATTAAAGATATCAATTGACTCCCCATTTGCTATCTCCCATCTTACTATCTTCTTAAGACACCTACCTCAATCCTTGATTAATTTCCAAGTTGGTGAATAAGATTTCCTTCCAGCAGTTTGATCGCAGATTTTGCCATATTTTGGATAAAGACATTTATGCAACATAGAGTCTTTATCTTGAACTCCCTCATATTCATGTACACTAACTCCTCATACCTTTTTCCCATAGAATTATGCAAGCAGCCATGCCTCTCTCTCTATTTTTCATGTAAAGAGGTTGAATCCCTCAGCCTTCTCTCGACTCCAAAGGCCACATAAAGTTCCCATCAAGATCAAACTCCAAGCCTTACTTTCCCTAGTTCTCTCTCAATCTCATGAGAAGCCATCTAATTCCCTATTATTTGTAGATCTGAATGATCATACCATCTACTCCAGCCCTCTTGCTCGACAACCTAACAGGCTAAGCTGGAGATCTCATCAAGTTGATCAGCTCAGTTCTAATTATCATACCACCATCCTAAGCCATCTCTAACTAACTAGATCAACCAATGTGCATCCTTAATGCCGTTGATTATTATTACCAGTATCTCAATTATATCTCTCCCTCGTAATCATGATAGTTCAAGCAAGAAGGGGATGGTTACTGGTTTCTCTTGGCTAGCCTTCCATATCTCTCACCTACAACACTCTAAGAATGGTTGCTTATGAATGCAACCAATATATGATGATATCTATATATGAAAAATTATTCTTAGAAGATAGTAATGAATACTAATGTCATGAAATGTGATTTATTCAAAGTGATGCATGATTCTACTTTCGTATCCTAATATTCAAGCATTGCAGCTATTGTGGTTAATATGTTTTAGCTCTTCCTATGTTCATTTCAGTACTTTGTTCTTATTAGTTTGTACAAATATAAAAATATATGTTTGAGATTAATTGCCCGTAAAATGAAAGCTCTTCTTTAGAAAATAAATGCCATTTTTTATTTTAATTTGTGTGAAAATCTATAAATCATCTTTATTTAATCTTTATAATTTAATAAAAAAATCAAATCTAGATTGCCTTGTGTATATAAAAAGGCCTTAGAAATGGAACCACTTAAAGTTGTTTATTTTTTATGTGATTGAATTTTGATAGAAATTTGAAGATAATAGAAAAAGGAATGAAATATTCAGTTCTATTTTATGTTTCTTGTTAATTACATATAAGAGATTAAGTTATAACTTTAAAAACATTAAAAGCTTTAAAATTTGTATTTATATTTCCTTCACATTAAATTGATTCAATGAAATAGAAGTAACACCTTATATCTTCTAATTTTGACATACATAATAATATACCTTGATTGATGGAATGATGATTTAAAACTATCAAATTAACTAGTTGAATCAATGATTAGATTGAAGTAGATATATCTTCTCTCATAATAATTATACTTTATAGCTAGTTAACTCAATGAAATAGAAATAACTTCTCTTACAATGACTTATGCTATTAGAAATGAGAAAACAAACAGTAATCCTGACACATATCAACATCTATAAAATACCTTTTTAGGGAATACAACTCCTGACGATGGTCCAGGAATGTGTTTTTGAGCATTTGGAAGTTTGTATATTGCACAACTGAGCAAAACCAAAATCATAAATATACTTCTCATTGCAGCGAGATGTTGGATAAGTGTTTGTAAGCTACTTACATGACTTGTTTGTCCAATATATCTTCCAAACCTTTAAGGGAGACCTGAAGACTGGTGGACATAGATCCCCATTATAAAGAGATAGATATCCATTCACCCACCACTGCTAATGAAAATGAAGAAAATTGAATACAAATTTGAATACAGAAACTGCCACACAAAAGTAGCCCAATAGTTATATTTAGGGAGCTATCTTGAATCTGATTTTGTTTATCCATTTCCATCCCAACATCAATATTAGGTTCATCATTTTGAGGAAATAAAATTTTGGCTCCATCTTTGGTAATTTTAATAATTTTATGTTGCGGATGAGCCACAAAACATTCATTGATTAAATGTCCATGAACCTTATAATGAGAGAAAAATTTCAAAACATTTTCAAAAACAACCTTTGCAAGTACCATGATTTTTGGGATCCAAGCCAAATTTCTTTAGGATGTTTCTTAGAAATATTTAATTCAACCATATATGGGCTACACATGGATGTGATTGAGAGGCAGTGGCTTGGTTTGATTGTAAAGGCCTCCTAAAAAATGGAACCCAAAGTATGTAAATTATGAGAATTAAAAAAAATGTAAATGAAGATTTGGGAACAAAATCCAAATCAAAACTATCGGTGATTCCTCTTGAATGTTGAAGTAAAGAGTCTTTTTCAAAACACGCATCTAACAATTGTTAATATAATAAGATCTTCTAGAAAACACATGTCTTTAATCAAGATCAATAGATAACTATATAGAAATATTTCTAAGATCAAGCAAGCCGATAGAAAAAAAACACTAAAAAGTTTTCAGTTCCCAATGAAAATATGAATCATGTTAAGATTATGTCGTCATATGGAAAACTTCCCAACTAAAGTAAATTGATAAGGAGAAGCTAGTTTCATAATATCATGCTAGAAAACCTTTAACATAACCTTTCGTAAAGGAGAAAGTCTGATTTGTAGAGGAAGACGAGCTAGAAAGAACATTGCAAAAGGACCATTTTTTAGGTTTAGCAAATTTACCATCCTCATCTAATAAACCTGATTTGGATACAACTGGAGATGTAGGAGGATTACACCATGGATTTGGTGGAGAAGACGATGTTCAGGAGCCAGTTGTCCTAGCAAATAAATATAACTGTGTGCAGCTAGTTGTATTGTTTGAATATATCTTAGGTTTATTATTAGTGTAAGTTATCTACATTATTGGATTTAATTTATTGAAATGTCAAGAGAATTTTATGTTCAAATTAAAGTTTTAGTACCTTTAATTTTTGGAAGTTCATTTTAAGTTGAATTTTAATTATTAAGGTTGATTGTTAAGAATATTTATTTAGGATATTTTAATTAATCATTTTTAGTCCTCAGATTTTTTTAATTTAATGATTTATTAAATTTTTGATGATTTATTAATTTTAAATTATTTATTGAATGTTTAATTAAATTATTTATTTTAATTGATATATCATTTGACCTTTTTCAATTTCATTTGGGATTTATACATTTAGATTTTTATGAATTTTTATCAATCTTTCCAATATTTTGCTTAGTCGTCTACATTTATTATTATGTATTTATAGCTTTAATATTTATGTTAATTTTTGTTGTATGTTATTATTTTTTATGTAATAAGAAAACTATGATTTCTATAGAGCCCTATGGTTGAGAGGTTGCAAAAGATAATAAGTGTTTTGGACCTTAAGGCTATCTATGTTTTAAGAATACTCACATATACTGGAGTCAATGTCTGGTGATACCCGACCATAGCACCTCTACCTGGTTTGATAGAGGCGACTGACTTATTTCATTTCATTTTGTTCACTTGATCGGAACCATTCCTCGCAGTTCATGCAAACAAAGAAAATAAAGCAGAGATTAGAAGCACATTTAACAATTAGAATTAAAATAATTGAAAAATATTATTTAAAACCAAACATACCTTTTTTTGAACTTACACACAGATTCAGTTGATTGCCTTTTGACTTTTTCACTTTTGAAAGAATATTGTATATCTTTTCAAAATTCACCCCAAGACACAAGAAAGAGGAAGAAGGAGAAGGAGAAAGAGAAAGAGAGAGATTAAGAGAAATAGAGCTTTCGCTTCTAAATAATCACCAAAATCCATCACTCTTTAGCACAAACATTTTTACTTTTCAACATACACATTCACTTCTGCTCATTTATACATTACGCTTTCACAATTCATACACTTACAAAAAAATATACTTTTCACAAACGCTTCAATTTTCAACAATCATATATTTTAAAATATCATTCAACCTACACACCTCACTTTCAACACAAGCACTTTAACTTTCAACAATTTTATACTTTAGAACATTATTTAACATACCCACACTTCATTTCTCACAATCCAAACTTTCTTTTCATTCTTCTCACATTTTACTTTTCAACACATACATTTTATTTTTCTCAAATACACATGTTTCTCTACCAAAATCCACACATTTCAACATTCGAAAGTTCACACACTTTACCCCACAAAACATTTCACATTTCATCTTTCTCACACAATACCTTTTCAAAATCCACATAATTTACTTTTACCACATTTACATATTTCACTTTTACAATTCATACATTTGCCAACACACACTTACACGCTTCACCTTTCCAAAATTACTATATTCAAAGTTCATACATTTCACACACATGTCACTTCCATAATCAAGATTGACTAAATGTACACATACACTTTTTACCTTCCATATCAACACTTATATCAAAATGTAATCATGAAAAATAGTATTTGATGACGTTTCATTCTTCCCAAAGAATCATGCATCTCTTTAATATAAAGCGTACAACCTTCACATAGAATTGCATGTCCATGATTGTGACCTATTGAACTTGCATTTGCATCTAACATTAAAGCTCAACAAAAAATAAGAATTTATCCAATCATCAAGATACCTTTAATACCATCAAAAATGCATGAAATCAAGCCGATTATTAGTGAATGAAAATATTTCATAGGATGAAACATACAACAATAACGCTTACTTTTAACAAACAAAATTCTCCATAAGCAAAACTATTGACTTGAATTTTTTAGAATACCTTGTAGCATCTTTCAAAATCTCTCATAAATATAATTCTTTCAAAGACAAATAAACTTTTGAACGTCACATATTACTTTAAAATATTCAATACATGAATGCATACAATGAATTTTAAAACTCTATTTGCAGTAACTTGAAACCTATATTGATTTCAATTTGTAGCCACCAAAAATAAACTATAAAGCTTTTATCAATAACAAGAATGCTTATCTAATGATAATTTCCACTCAATGCATATGTGTCGAATGCTAAATAAGCAATGAAAATAGACACAAATATTACTTCTTTCAAGCATCCATATCCTTTCAACGTGACTATAAACTCTAGCATGGCATGTAGTGATTTTATAATTCAATTACGTATATAATCCCTCGAATAATTTCTCAAACCCTTGACCATCGCAAATATGCAAACTATTGAATCATGTTTGTGCATACAACCACTTCGATATAACCATTGCTATCATTAAAAAAATAAAAAGAAATATGGTTTTCTTACATCATAAATTTTCATTTAAATATCTAGATTTTAAAATATGCATCCCATCACATCTCCTATTTTCAATTAAAACACAAGATGGATTTCATTCCTTCTTTCTCTTTCAATTCCAAACAGAACTCTACAATAGAGTTATATCAAAATAAAAAATTAGATGCAACCATTGGCGAGAAGAATAAAAAAGAAAATATCTCCTCGATCACAAGAATAAAACTACAACTCCTCATTTATCATTTTTTTATAACATAAACCAATCGAAGATTTATTCATTCAAATAAAATGCCAACACCAATGTGCTTCTAGATATTATTTTCATATGCAGATTATAAAAACTTATCAAGAAACCTCTCAGATTTTTTTTTTTTTCTTCTATTTGTTTTTTAATCTGAAACCTAGATCCTCAAGCATTAAATATTTAAGGAAAGAGGCAACGAAGACTAACCTTGCCATTTTAAGCATAGGAAATCATTGCAATAACCCACTTATTGTTGTCTTTGGCCAACCAAATCGCAGCAGAGAGGGAGACGGCTTCGCCTAAGGGTTCCGCCTCGGGCTTCTTCGGGCAAGAGAGACGAGAGAAGAGGAGGGGGATTTCGCCTCTGGGGTGTCATGCGAAGCAGAGAGGACGGGAGAGGGGGCGAGGGGGTGATAGGGCAAGGGATTGCGAATAGAGAGCCGAGAGTCTTTCGCGAATGGGGGAGGAGACGGGTGGGTTTTCGCAAATTAGAGAGGAGATCGGGGGGGCAGGGGGGGGTTGAACCGGCCTGAACCGAATCCTATCCCTCTCTCAATTCAAATCGACGGCTAAGATTGATTCATGCCTTAAAAGAGGGATTTAAGGGCTAATTTCTTTTGAAAGGGAATCTTAATTGAGAAATAATTTGGAATAAACTTAATTATTTAAATAATTATTGTGTTGAAGTTTAAAATTAAGATGGCTTTAAATGAGTAATTTTATCTTTTTTTGCTGATTTTATTTTAATTGAGTCAAGAATAACTGATTTAGTCTGAATTGTGTTAAAATTAGGTAACTTTTAATTTATGTGATGTCGATCAGACCGAAACGAGTTCAAATGGTGTCTGATTTTATTCTGATTAAATATAAATTCGGTGTAAATTATCTCGTGACAATTTAGGTTGAATTAGAAGGTTGAATTAACACTACGTCAATGATATCCGCCTAAGAAAAATTCTGAAGATGACGTCTACATTAGATTACAAAGACCTAGTCACTAAGAATGAGCACATGAAACATTGACCTCGAATAATGAGGTCAACATCAAACTTTATTCTTTTCCTAATTGGTAGTTGAAATTTCAAATCCTTGATCATAGATTTTTAAATCAAAAGAGGTCTTGCTACATGTGATAACCCCCAAGGATCTAACTTGGAAGAATTATTCAGTCAATCCTTTAAATCAATCTTCTATCAGAGCTATCTATATTCATCAATCAGTATTAAACAGTCTAACAAAAATTCTATAATTTAAATCATCATGTAAACATTTCTATTCATTCCCAAAAGTCATTTACAATACTCAGGAACTTCAACAAAATCATAATCCATCCAGTCCTGAGTACAAAAGAATAACTATAACAAAAGGACATAAATCTGAACAATCTTGATCAGCCTCACACTTCTGCTCCCTTGCCTTGACCTGAAATCATTAACCACATATAATGAGATTAAAAAGCTCAGCAGGTCACTAAATACCTACAATTGAAATCAAAACACGGTACGAAAGCAATATGCATGTCAATCAATCAAATCAATATCAGTCACTTACACATGATCATTAAGTCAATGTAAAAATAGGAATAGTACAGAAATAGTAATCAATACAGAAACATATGAATCCATAATCATCAGTAAAAGAATCAATAAACAGTATAAAAGTTTGTAAAGCTAAATAAATCACTACGTGTGTCAAATATCTACAGTAGTCGTCGTATCTATAACACCAATCATTTTAGTAGACTAATCATCGTATATAAAATCTCAGTCAAATCATTAAAGAAATCTTCGTATCGATAATATCAATCAAATCAGTCAATAAATCATCGTGTCAATAATATTAATCGTATAAAGAGAATTTATCGGTTCAATAATATCAGTCGGTATAAAACGTCAAATTAATACTATCATTCGTGACTGTTGAAATCAAACAAATGCAGTAAAACTGTATCAAAACGTACACTTATAATTCAAGTTATTCAATATCACGTGCTCAGTAAATCACATACAATCCAGTAATTATATCAAGTGTTTAGTGAATCACATGTCACTTGCTCAGTATATCACATGCATAATGTCAGCACAGTGAATCAATAGTATCAATGCTTGTATCAGTATCAATAACAATCCAGTGACATGAACAGTAATGCTATAATCATGAAATCGTGTAGTAACAGTAAATCCGTACAATATCAATAAAACCGTACAGTAACGTTAAATCCATTTAGTATTAATAAATGCGTCAGTATAAGTAAACTCATACAGTAGTAGTAACAATACTGCCAAACATGCAATTAAGTATAGTAGTCATACAGTGCAAGTAGAAGCACTAGCTATTAAGGTGTTTTTTAGTCTTGTATCAGTATCAATATCTTGTATCTGTTGGCTTAGTAAAAAGAGTCATCACTCTTTACCCGTCTGCACAGTAATCATCTCCTTATAACTCTCATTAGTAATCACGCGATCAGTAGAGAATAACACCAAATCGTATTTAAAGGAAAGGTCGTCGGCCCACCATCCTTTATAGGTCAATCAGTCTCCAACCAACGGTTCAACCAGTCTTTACTTATCTTTACATACACAGTCGTATCATAGTAATATAACAGTAACTTCAATCATATAGTCACAATCATTATCATATCATCAATGTCTTGCAACCGTAAAACATAGTTTAGCTCAATTTAGAAAACCCTTAAAATATCGTATAGTAGATAGAAGTCGTTATAAAATGCACAGTTTCAGAAAATTACCAAATTACTAGAAATCGTATAAAACATCATTTCAAAATTTTACTTGTACTGAAGTAATATTTTTCAACATCCGGATAATTTTCTATTCGATAAAAATCCCACAGAACTCAAAATACCCGGTGAAAACTTTCCAGAAAGTACTTAAATCATACAAAATCATCATCTCTAAAATATATCAAATGTTACGCAGTAAAATTTTTGTCAATACAGAGATATGCATGTTTTTTTGGTAAAAGAAACACAAATCTGAGCAGCAAAATATCAAAACACGAAATCTTCGAAATCAGAAATAGGATTTGGATTCCTTACTGTGAGTCGAACAATTCTTCCAACTGCGACGACGGACGAAAATCACTCCGCGACCTCCGAAACCAAGCTTTTCCTTTCTCTTTCCTTCTCTTTCTCTCTCCTTCTCTTTCTCTCTCCATCTTTCTCTCTCTTCAAAATATCTCAAAAATATCTCAAATCATCTATTTAATGAACTCGATCGTCCCGACGATATTTTCCACTCATCCTGGGACGAAGCTCTCTGGACACGATCATACAAACGATAATTATTTTCATCCCTAGACGATGTTCTCGGGCAAAAATTTTGTTCTGTTTGTCCCGGACGAACACAGGTTCGTAGGGACGAACCTGCACATTACTCAGTTCGTACAGGCAGTTTGTACAGGCAGTTCGTACAGACTAACTAAAGAAATTTTCACTGTTCGTCCATACTAAAGTCAGTTCGTACAGACTAACTACGCCAAAAAAAATGAAATTCTGAGGGGTTTTACAATCTACCAACCTTAAGAAAAATATCATCCCCGACATTTCCCTTAAGGGTTCAAATGAGAAATCGATATAAAACAAATCCGTCAAATCAAAACTTAAATCAAGTCAAATCAAAATTAAAACTCGTCGAAAATCATACAGTCATACAGTTCATTTAATCACATGTCATTCAACTATACATGAAAAATGATGCACTTGAAACTACCAAATCTTTCCAACTCTCAATCAAATCCTACAGCTCTGGTAACAATTAATTCTTCCAATAACACTGCTCTGATACCAATTTGTGATAACCCCAAAGGATCTAACTTGGAAGAATTATTCAGTCAATCCTTTAAATCAATCTTCTACCAGAGGTATCTATATTCATAAATCAGTATTAAACAGTCTAACAAAAATTTTATAATTTAAATCATCATGTAAATATTTCTATTCATTCCCAAAAGTCATTTACAATACTCAAGAACTTCAAAAAAATCATAATCCATCTAGTTCTGAGTACAAAAAAATAACTATAACAAAAGGATATAAACCTGAATAATCTTCATCAGCCTCACACTCCTGCTCCCTTGCCCTGACCTAAAATCATTAACCATATATAATGAGCTTAAAAAGCCCAACAGGTCACAAAATACCTACAACTGAAATCAAAGCATGGTATGGAAGCAATATGCATGTCAATCAATCAAATCAATATCAATCACTTACACATAAGTCAATGCAGAAATATGAATCAGTACAGAACAGTAATCAGTATAGAAACGGTAGTCAATACAGAAACATGTGAATCCATAATCATTAGTAGAAGAATCAATAAACAGTATAAAAGTTTGTAAAGCTCAATGAATCAGTACGTGTGTCAAATCTCTACATTAGTCGTCGTATTTATAACATCTGTCAATTCAGTAGACTAATCATCGTATCTAAATTCTCAATCAAATCATTAAAGAAATCTTCGTATCGGTAATATCAATCAAATCAGTCAATAAATCATCGTGTCAATAATATCAACCGTATAAAGAGAATTCATCGGTTCAATAATATCAGTCGGTATAAAACATCAAATTAATACTATCGTTCGTGACTATTGAAATCAAATAAATGTAGTAAAATTGTATCAAAATGTACACTTGCAATTCCATTTATTCAATATCACGTGCTTAGTGAATCACATGCAATCCAGTAATCTATATCACGTGTTCAGTGAATCACATGTCACTTGCTTAGTATATCACATGCATAATGTTAGCACAGTGAATCAGTAATATCAATGCATGTATAAGTATCAGTAACAATCCAGTTACATGAACAATAATGTTATAATTGTGAAATCGTGCAGTAACAGTAAATTCTTACAATATTAATAAAATCATACAGTAACGTTAAATCTTTCAGTATTAGTGAATGCGTCAGTATTAGTAAATCCGTACAGTAGCAATAACAATACTGCTAAACATGCAATTTAGTACAGTAGTCATACAGAGTAAGTAGAAGTACTAGCTATTAAGGTGTTTTTCAGTCTTGTATCAGTATTAGTATCTTATATCTGTTGGCTCAGTAAAAAGTGTCATCACTCTTTGCCCGTCGACACAGTAATCATCTCCTTATAACTCCCATAAGTAATTACGTGATCAGTAGAGGATAACACCAAATCGTATTTAAAGGAAAGCCCGTCGGCCCGCCATTATGTACAGATCAATTAGTCTCCAACCAACGGTTCAACCAGTCTTTACACACACAGCCGTATCATAGTAATATAACAGTAACTTCAATCATATAGTCATAATCATCATCATATTATCAATGTTTTGCAACCGTAAAACATAGTTTAGCTCAATTTAGAAAATCCTTAAAATATCGTATAGTTGATTGAAGTCGTTATAACATAGACATTTTCAGAAATTATCAAATTACTAGAAATCGTGTAAAACATCATTTCAAAACTTTACTTGTAATGAAGCAATATTTTTCAACATCCGGATAATTTTCTATTCGATAAAAATCCTACAGAACTCAAAATACCCAGCGAAAACTTTCCAAAAAATACTTAAATCGCGCAAAATCATCATCTCTAAAACATACCAAAAGTTACGAGGTAAAAATTTCGTCAATACAAAGATATGCATGTTTTTCGGTAACGGCAACACAAATATGAGCAAAAAATACCAAAACATAAAATCTTTGAAATCTGAAATAGGATTTAGATTCCTTACTACGACTCGAACAATTCTTCCAACTGCGACGATGGACGAAAATCGCTCCGCGGCTTCCAAAACCAAGCTTTTCCTTTCTCTTTCCTTCTCTTTCTCTCTCCAGCTTTCTCTCTCTTCAAAATATCTCAAAAATATCTCAAATCATCCATTTAATGAACTCGATCGTCCCGACGATGTTTTCCATTCATTTCGGGACGAAGCTCTCTGGACACGATCGTACAAACGATAACTAATTTTGTCCCTAGACGATGTTCTCGGGCAAAAATTTTGTTTTGTTCGTCCCGGACGAACTCAGGTTCTTATAGACAAACCTGTACTTTACTCAGTTCATACAGGCAGTTCGTACAGACTAACTGAAGAAATTTTCACTGTTCGTCCGTACTAAAGTCAGTTCCTACAAACTAACTGCAAAAAAAAAAAAAAGAAATTCTGAGGGGTTTTACACTACCAATTTAATCAAGTGTTTTCTCAACACATTTCTTGTGATGTAAATAACTATAGAGTCTTACCTTTTAAAGGAACCTAAAGCCCAATTAAAAAAAAAAAATCTATGCTCAAGTTCATATAAGTAGGGAAATTCTCTGTACGTAGATTAAATTTTTAACATTGTTTAATTTTATTTTCAAAATGATAAATGAATATCATTTTTTCTTTCAGGATAAATAGCATATTCAATATGATGAGTTTGATTATTAAAATAAATTCAATCTATATCTTAGATCGATAGTGAAACATTAATATGTCTTTCAAGAAACTATTTTATTTGCTATACATATTTAATTATAAAAATATAGATCAAACTCGTTCTCACAATTTATTTATCCACACTGAGCATTACTCGTCGATACTATTAAAATATAATTACATAAAAAAAGAAATTATTTTCTTTCTAATAGCTTAAGTTCATTTTATATTCTTTTCTTTGACATAGTCACTAGATCATGCAATGAAATGCTTGCTAAAAGTTGCATCAAATGCCAAGCTAGTTCTCAATCTTGTAACACTTTGCTAAATCATTACCACCATCAACACATGTCTGTAATAAACAGAATGAGCAGACTGAGCATGAAATCTCTTGGGGTCAACAATTATAAGTCTTATCAAAACCGAAAATCATTTTCACCGTTTTGGTAAATTTTATATATTTATGTATCTAATATTCTAATCTTTAAATCTTTATATTAATTTAGATAACATTCTTATATTTAAATAACATAAAAATATTACTAATATTAACTTATTTAAATAAAATATGTTTATGTATATGCATTGAAATAATTTATAACAAAAAACTATATAAATAAATATAAAGATCCATAAGTTGGACATGTAAATTCTTAAGCATTTAGTAGTATGCATGTAAAACCACTATTTTGAATAAAAGATCAGATCGGCCCGTTCAACTGGTTCAACGATGAACCGGTCTGGTGGCTGGTCCGATCTAGCTTACAACACTATCTCTGCATCGGACCGGATCAAATCGGGTTGAACCAGCGGTGAACCACTGAACTGATCCAGGTTGGAAAGAACTGGTCTGTTTATAATTTCTTTTTCGTTTTAATTAAATTTTATAAAGGGTTCAAGGCAACATTCTCAAATTCCTCCTATGTTGTGGGACTGAAAAAGTTGCATGAATAGTTTAGTTCTTAAATGATATTTTTATGTATAAAATTTTATTATATATTTTAAAATTTTATAAATATTATTAAATGTTCATATACTTATATTATATTATGTTAATTTTATTAATTTTTAATAATATTATTATTTATACGTCATCTGATTCGACCCCGGTCGAACCATGAACAGCTTCTTGTTCGTTGTCCTGTCTGATTTTCACTTGCTTTGGTAAAACTCTCATTTTTTAGGCATTAAATCTAAGATGATTCTTTATAATGATTAACAAAATATTTCATGCTACAAAGGCCCGTCATAAAAAAAAAGGCCCTCATAAAAAATCTCGGTACTTACACCTATATGCACAATCTTTGATTCTATTGTTGGACACAAATCTCCTTATCATTTTACTCCATTCAAAGCCTTGGATTGTGCTGCTGGCTAATATTAAATTATTGTAAAGCCAAAATAACCAAAACAATTTTCGAATGTCGTACGGAATCTAAAATTAAGTATTCATTACAGATGTACATGATAAAAATAATTGAAATAGAAAATTGATTTTATGTCAATGAACCTTTAAATTTCACAATACATTACAAGTAGTGCTAGGTGAATTATATTAATCCTGAAGAATAATTATGAAAGATAAAAAGTATAAATTTAAATTAAGAACACCTTTGCTGTGATTTGTTAGTCTGAGCAATTACCAGTTACTAGTTGAACTCCAATAAAAAAATAATAAAACTTCATACAATTTTGCAACATTTGAGTGTTACTAAATGTAAATAATAAATAAGCTTCATCCTAGAACTACTCGCTGAACTCAATACATGCACAGTCCAGAAGCTCCAAACGGTTGAGAGATTTGGCTAAAACCCATTGACAAAATTAATGTAATCACGGTTTTATCCAAAAATGACAATACAAAACAACAAATGTCTCCTGGTAAGTCAACTGTTTATTTATACAGTATATAGCAGATCCTAATAAACCTAGTAGCATAAAGCAAATTTTAGTATTCAGCGTTCAAAGGTGATCAAAACTTACAAGCAAAGCATAGCTGAAGTTAGAAATTAATCTTTTCATCACATCACAAAACACAAACAGTAAAAGATCCAGCAGAAATTAAACAAGATAACCTATTGGAACAGGTAATTAGTAAGTTAATTAATTAATTAAACAAAGCCAAATTATGAAAAAAAGCAGATCTAGGGCAAAGAATTCCTTCAGCTGCCACTTCCTCTTCCTTACAAAACAGTAAATTAAAAAAACAAAAGGAAAAATCAGCGTTTAATTCGCGTACAAAGCCCCTTCTTGCAGACCCTGTCGAGCTCCCTTCCTACGAAGGATTAGGGTGACGAAGCTGACAAGAGCACATAGCGCTGCGACAAAATTGCCCTCCCGGAGAAGGATCCTGACGGCGAATCCAGCGATGTCAGCGGTGATCCGACGTCCCTCAGTCACCAGAGTCCGGCGAGGCTTTCCAGCGAAAGCGAGAAGAACGAGTACGGTAATCCAAGTGACGACGGTAGCCGGCACAGCTACTGCGAGCGCCGCCCCCATTGAAAGAAGACCGAAGACCCCGCCGTAAAGGACGGAGGCGTAGAGCGCTGGCCACCCAAGTGACGCCGGCGAGGGTGCAGCGGCGGCTGCAGACCCGTACCAGGAGCGGATGGAAAGGATAAGGTTCCAGGAAGAGCACAGGAGGAGAGCGTACACGAGAAGGAAGAGAGAGGCCCAGGTCCGACGCTTGCTCATCGCCCTCAACACAAGGGAAGACCATTCGATTCTCTCTGGATCGGCCATTTTTAACTACCGACGACCGAGAAAAAGCGTTTAGAGCGTGAGATGAGGAAAGAGGGAATACGAAGGGGCGATGTTTCACTTGATTCCACGGCTAGGCTACTGCAGCTCGGGTAATAGCGTGTTTTAGGCTGTTTTTTTTCTTTCTTTTTTTTCTTTTTTTTTTTTCGCCGTAGAAAATTTGTAACCACGTGGTGCACTGATGGCGGGAGGGGTGCATTTAGAAAAAAATTCTATGCATGACTGAATTTTATATAGTCCAACTTATTTATTCTAAACCGTTAGATCTGCCTTAATAATTGTCTTGAAGAGGATAAGAGGGTCTTGTACGCCTATGGATGGAAGCTTTGAGGATCTTTTCTTCTAGATCACATGATCATAGGACGCTGGTCCTACAGAGGAGAAAATAGTAATAACTTACATCTCGGTGGAACAAGAAAAGCCAATTGGCATCCGATGAGAAGGTAAACCGATATCTTGTTCTTAGCTTGATTAATCTACCCTTTTTTCAAATATAGCTCAAACTTTTTTTACACCAAACTATTACCAACCATATATCATCAAAAAATTATCTTGATCGAACACGAATCTCAAGACAAATATCATGCCGAAAACTTCAAAAATTAAATCCAGGATCATCTGAACTTTGATATCAGTAAACTTACAGTCGAACTGAGCGTCTCGAAAATACGAACCCAACGACACCAAACTCAACTCAATCTGAGCCCAAATGAATCCGAATTGAAGACCTGAAGTGCTGTTAGAAGGTTTAAACACAATTGGATTACCAAATGGTTTCCAGACATAACATGCTTAAAGTGGAATCGAGCGAATCGACGAGAAGAATCCAACGAGCACAAGATCGCCGAATTTTGGCATCTTTAATACCTTCAAATGTCTAACAAACGATCAATGATTAAGGGATTCAATATCAGTCGTCCATCCTAACCACTCCACATTTACCCTTGATCCTCCTCCTATTTACAGGTCATGACATCCTCAAAAAACTATAAATAGCTCCTCATTTCTCTTAAGAGGGGACCCCAAGTAAGAAGAAGAAGAAGAAGAGAAGAGAAGAAGAGGAGGGACGAAGCACATCATCGACAACCATCGGAGGTTCTCCTGACCTCCAAGTAATGCCGGAGCTTTATCCGACAACCCACTGATGCCAGTTTTCTGCCCGGTCACTGAATGACGTTGGACTTCCACCCGACGTTGGACTTCTATCCGTCTCCAGATTACTACTAGATGCCGGACTTCTGCCCGAATTTTCGCCGGACATCTATCCAATGCTGGATTTTTGTCCATTACTGGACTTCTACCTGACGCTGTCCTTCTGACCTCTATCGCCCGCCAACTACGGTCCTACCAACCTTCGTCGCCCGTTGACTACGATCCTTCCGACTTACATCGCCCATCAACAATGGTCATTTTGACCAAATGAATATATCAACAGTTACTATTTGTATTCCCATCATATACTCCATATGATGTACATCAAGTCAAGGCCTTCCCCTAAGGAAGGGCCTTATTTGTAATCAACTACAAATACTAGTGGATTCATTCATACTGGGCTAAGCCCCATGATTTTTTATCCTTTTCAAGGGTTTTCCACGTAAATATTCTAGTGTGTCATATGAATGCAACACTCTCTCTTATCTAATTGCGTGCTAGATTTTCGTATAAAGTTAAGATGTTAAATTTTATATTTCTCTACTGCCACAAATACTCTAGGATGTTATAGTTTGGCATCGTCTGTGGGAATGTGGTTACCGATTAGGGGGTAATTTTTGCTCAAACCTTAAAAGGTCATTTATGTTAACTTCATAACATACACTATAGGAAATTCAGCTATTACTAGCGGCTATGACCAGCGGTCCTGTAGCCGCCGGTAATACCGGCAGTTTTGGTGGTGGTTTGACCGCTGGTATTAACCAGTGGTTTAATCGTCGGTCTTTAATAAATCGTCGTTGGAATTAGCGAAGGTTTAATAACCGTGGGGTGTGGCGCCAATTTAATTTAAACCGTTGCCTGAAACGGTGGCTAAGACCGCCGATATTAAGTTATTAATTTCTGGTGATCACTGGCACTAGCATCGCCAAAAATTACCGGCCATTTTTACCGTTGGAAAGCTACACATGATATAAACTATTGAAAATTGGCTGCCGAAAAAATTTTGCTATGCAGTTTATTCCCGCGATTTTAAAACCGCCGGTAAGCCGCCATTTTTTTAAACTGCGAAAATCTATCACTAAGCACTGAAAAAACTTGCTGGTAATTCTAATTTTTCTGTTGTGTCATCTATTGCTGCATTAATTTCTTGGGAATCATGTTTGGACTACGGGGCAACCCTGACTCCAATTATGGTCAAGAAGATCCCTCCAATACTTTCAAAACTAAGATGATATATCATGAAGCTCTTAGCAAATGCAAGGATGCTTCTGCTAAATTTCAAACCATATATAGTCCCTACATGGACTTCTACTTCTTAGGCAATGTGTTAATCTTGACCTCAAAAAGCCAGTAATGGTATAAAAATAGATCATTATTCACCTTTGATTCGAGATACACGCGGCGTTCGACCCCTCCCAATCAAAGAAAAATCAATCCCAAGGGATTCGATTCGACCTCTTCAACACAGGTTAAAGTCATCGAGCATGGCTCTGACATACAATCTCGGATAGGTGATATATCATTGGTGGATTCTTTCGACCTCTTCCATATATGTTAACATCATCGAGCAGGGCTTTGACATACAACCTCGGATAGGTCATACATCCTTTATGGTTTCTTTTGACCTCTTCCATATATGTTAATATCATCGAGCTGGGCTCTGATATACAACCTCAGATAGGTTATACATCCTTGGTGGATTCTCTCGACTTATTCTATATAGGTTAATGTCATCGAGCAGGGCTATGACATACAACATCATATAGGTCTTATATCCTTGGTGGATTCTCTCGATATCTTCCATATAGGTTAACGTCATTGCGTAGGACTATTACATACAACATCATATAGGTTTTACATCTTTGGTAAATTCTCTCGACCTCTTCCATATAGGTTAACGTCATCGAGTAGGACTCTGACATACAACCTCAGATAGTTCATACATCCTTTTTGGATTATCTCGACCTCTTCAATAAAGGTTAACGTCATCGAGCCCCACCTTTGATATGTCTTACATCTTTGATGGATTTTCTCGATCTGTTTCATATAGATTAACATCATCGAGCGGTGCTCTAACATATAATCTTGGATAGGTCTTATATTCTTGGTGGATTCTCTCAACCTCTTCTATATATGTTAACATCATCGTGTTGGGCTCTGATATATAAGCTCAAATAAGTCATATATCCTTTGTTGATTTTGTCGACCTCTTCTATAGTGGTCAATATCATTGAGTAGTGCTTTGAGTGAACAACATTCTCTCTATAAAGATTTTATGAAAGTAAGTGATTAATAAAATTATCACTCATATAAAAATGATAGCAGGCTAAAAAATTATAAAAAGTATATTATGTAATATATTAAACTATGTCTCAAAGATGTAATAACAATTCAGCTTTCTCTAAGGGATAAGTTTTCAACTTCATATACAATATCAATTGAGTTATATAAATATATATTTATGTATACATTTATTCTCACTAGAAGTTGAAATTAAAAAGTACATTGATATCAACTATATAAGTTACTATCATTAAGCAATAAGCAACTTCAAAATGGTCAAATATTCTTGGTAAATTTAAGTGACTTCTTCTTTACTATACATCAACACATTTCCTACAAATTCTTCTTCAAATAAAGATTATAATTTAATCTTCATCCGACCTCAACTTAGTTGACACTATACGTGTGTCGTCAGACTACTAACATAGCATACTGCTTTGGTTCCTTGAATCAGGGATATTAAATGTCAGCACACTTCCGTATAGATGCATATTGTCTTAATAAAATTTCACAGGACTATCGCCATCATCAGCCCTTCACCTGATGTTCACCATCAATAATTCACTTTATATATGCCATCATTGATTTCTTGCTCAATTACTGATAGTAGCATACCCTATAACTCTCTCCTTCAGCTCTCCACTCGGTCGTTGGCTACCAAAGGACTTCTACTCGATCATCCATCGCCGACGAACTTCCACTCAAATAGCATCAAAATTCTCCATGTCTATTAATAACTTATAGTTCTCCTCCCGAGAGTTATTACCACCAAATCTTCTCAAAGCACAGTCACATATAAGAAGCATTTGATCTTCTTTTGTCAAGGATAATTTATTGTGAAAGTAAGCTCTCATCGTAACTCTTTTACACTTGAGAGGGGCATTGAAGCTTGATAGAGGAATGCTGCCTATCTCAAATAGTGGAATGCTTACAATATAAGAAGAAGAACACATGAGAAGAAAAAAAGAGGAAAAATTCTCCTTCTATACAAGAGAGGGGCACTAAAACTTGATAGAGGAAAGCTTGATAGAGGAATATAACCTATCTCCCATAGTAGAATGCCTCTAATATAAGAAGAATAATATAAGAGAAGAATAAGAACAAAAATCTCCTTTTACATAAGAGAGGGGCACTAAAGCTTAATAAAGTGAATGTCGCCTATCTACGATAATAGAATGCCTCCAATGTAAGAAAAAGAATGCAAGAGAATAACATGAAAAATTAATCTTCTTCTAAATAAGAGAGGGGCACTTAAGCTTGATAGGCGAATACCATTTATCTACGATAGTGGAGTACCTCCAATGTAAGAAGAAGACTAGAGAAGAAGAAAAGGAACAACTCAAAAAATTCTTACTTCTACACAAGGAGAGGGGCATTGATTTTGTGTAGGGAAAGTCAACTATGAAAATAAATGGAATGCATCAACTGTAAGAAAGTTAAAATGAGTGAGGAGAAAGAAAAAAAATGGCTACAAAAAGTCTAACTTCTACACTTGGAGAGGGGCATTGATTTTGCATAGGATAATTCACCTACAAAAAATAGTGAAAAGCCTCAAATGTAAGAAAGTTAGAGGAAGAAAGAAGAACGAGGAGAGGAGAAATTTTCCCCTTGCCTTAGGGAGATATTTATAAGCGAAAGAGGAGAGAGGAATATGTTGCAAATTT